ACGAGCCCCGAAGCAAGCATACGCCTCATTTCGATGATTTTCGTGTACTATAGCACAACATTTTTTGGGTGATCCGGATTCCGACGTCAAAAATGCCAAATTTATTCGTGGGTGTCCGTCAAGACCTTTTCTATGCCTACGGTATGACATCACGGCTTGTCCGGCCCATTTGGAGGGTAAAACGAGCCCCGAAGCGAGCATACGCCTCATTTCGACGATTTTCGTATGCTATAGCACACCATTTTTTTGGTGATCCGGATTCCGACGACAAAAATGCCAAATTTGTTCGTGGACGTCCGTCAAGACCTTGTTTATGCATAATGTTGGCCATAACGGCTTTTCCGGCCCATTTGGAGGTTCAAACGATCCCTGAAGTGAGCATACGCCTCATTTCGATGATTTTTGTTTGCTATAGCACAACATTTTTTGGGTGATTCGGATTCCGATGTCAAAAATGCCAAATTTGTTCGTGGATGTCCGTCAAGACCTTGTCTATGCATACGTTCGGCCATCACGGCTTGTCTATCCCATTTGGAGGGTCAAACGAGCCCCGAAGCAAGCATACGCCTCATTTTGATGATTTTCGTGTGCTATAGCACACCATTTTTTGGGTGATCCGGATTCCAACGTCGAAAATGCCAAATTTTTTCGTGGACGTCCGTCAAGACCTTTTATATGCATACGGTTTGCCATCACGACTTGTCCAGTCCATTTGGAGGGTCAAACAAGCCCCGAAGCGAGCATACGCCTCATTTCGACGATTTTTTGGGTTATCCGGATTCCGACGTCAAAAATGCCAAATGTTTTCATGGACGTCTGTCAAGACCTTGTCTATGCATACGGTTGTCCATCACGGCTTGTCCGGCTCATTTGGAGGGTCAAACGAGCCCCGAAGCGAGCATACGCCTCATTTCGACGATTTTCGTGTGCTATAGCACACCATTTTTTGGGTGATCCGGATTCCGACGTCAAAAATGCCAAATTTGTTCGTGGACGTCCTTCAAGACCTTGTCTATGCATACGTTTGGCCATCACGGCTTGTCCGGCCCATTTGGAGGGTCAAACGAGCCCCGAAGCGAGCATACGCCTCATTTCAACGATTTTCCTGTGCTATAGCACACCATTTTTTGGGTGATCCGGATTCCGACGTCAAAAATGCCAAATTTATTCGTGGGCGTCCGTCAAGACCTCTTCTATTCCTACGGTTGGACATCACGGCTTGTCCGGCCCATTTGGAGGGTAAAACGATCCCCGAAGCGAGCATATGCCTCATTTCGACGATTTTCGTATGCAATAGCACACCATTTTTTGGGTGATCTTGATTCTGACGTCAAAAATGCCAAATTTTTTCGTGGACGTCCGTCAAGACCTTCTCTATGCATACGGTTGGCCATCATGGCTTGTCCGGGCCATTTGGAGGGTTAAACAAGCCCCGAAGCGAGCATACGCCTCATTTCGATGATTTTTTGGGTTATCCGGATTCCGACGGTAAAAATGCAAAATTTGTTCGTGGACGTCCGTCAAGACCTTGTCTATGCATACGGTTGGACATCACGGCTTGTCCGGGTCATTTGGAGGGTCAAACGAGCCCCGAAGCGAGCATACGCCTCATTTCGACGATTTTTTGGCTTATTCGGATTCCGACGTTAAAAATGCAAAATTTGTTCGTGGACGTCCGTCAAGACCTTGTCTATGCATACGGTTGGTCATCACGGCTTGTCCGGCCTATTTGGAAGGTCAAACGATCCCCGAAGCGAGCATACGCCTCATTTCGACGATTTTCGTGTGCTATAGCACACCATTTTTTGGGTGATCCGGATTTCGACGTCAAAAATGCCAAATTTGTTCGTGGACGTCCATCAAGACCTTTTCTATGCATACGGTTGTCCATAACGGCTTCTCCGTCCCATTTGGAGGGTCAAACGAGCCCCGAAGCGAGCATACGCCTCCTTTCGACGATTTTCGTGTGCTATAGCCACCATTTTTTGGGTGATCCGGATTCTGACGTCAAAAATGCCAAATTTGTTCGTGGACGTCCGTCAAGAACTTGTCTATCCATGCGGTTGGCCATCACGGCTTGTACGGCCCA